AAAAATGAACAAGTTTTACATGGCCCGGGGCGGGGGGGGTGGGCAAGAGCAATATTAATCAGCCCTTGTAGTTGACAAACATGGATATAGGCACAAGACAAAGTCCCTTCTTCTTCAGGTCAGTATAGCCATTATTTTCAAAAGATATGCTGTGGCCTCTCTCTACATTCTGCATTTCTTGGATTATTTGTCTTGAGCTTCCTTCATTTCCCTACAAAATTATTAAACACCCTAAATTAATTGTACTATGTTATACAACAATAAAAAAAGAAGAAGAGTATTGCAGAGAAAAGTAGAGGGAGGGATACTAACTGTTTTAGTTGTGGTTATTAAAATTTAAAAGTAAAAACAAAAGGCAAAGAGATAAATTGTAATGAAATATATTAATTACCAGAAAGTTTCTGCTATTGTTTTCTGCTCTTATGTAATTGATGTCCATCTGCTTAAAACTGCTTACCTGTTGATAATCACATGAGACTTATCAGAACAAAACAGAATGGTAGAGGTTGAACACATAATATACTTAAATAAATAAAACTATTTTCTCTATGTGTTAGATGAAGTGATCACACAATTAATATAATATCAGAATATTACACAAAGGTCTAAGTTCAAATATCAATATACTCGAGAAGAAAAAAATATTTTCACGTGTTAGACTCATTAAAAACTAACCACGCCAACACGGTGAGAATGATGGATGGAGAATATATATAAGTATTGAATTCTTATGAACCCAGCTTTTTCAATACGAAGTATATAATTATATATATGTCAAATATCATTAAATTAAATTGGAGTAATAAATAGTAGTAATAGATTCTGAATTCATGATATCAAAAACATAATCGATTTAGTGATAAGAACCTAAAGACCGAACCTATCAAATTAAAATCTGGAATTTCGCCTTTGTACACGAGGAGACGTGTTGAAACTATAATATATAATTAAATAAATACCTTAGGACTGTTGACAGGTGAACTAGCAGTGTCTTCCAAATCAGGATCAGAGATTTTCTTATTTCTTGTTTTCTTCAAATTCAATCTTTTAACATGAGAAGCAGCATCAGATAGCAAAGAAGGGCAATCATCCTCAGAATTATAACAACTATTTTCCCTTTGTTTCATTAATGAAAAATCATCCAAATAAGTTGTCCATCCACTCTCTTCTTGATTTGTTGCAGCTTCCTCTCTATCCCCCAGAAAATTATTCATAGATGAAGAAGTCCTTGGACCTTCCATTTTCAAGTGCTTTTTTATGGAGTTTTTGGAATGTGTTTTGTGAAGTTGAGTACTTGCTATGGTTTGAATGGATATATTAGGTTAAATAGGATTGAGTTAAACAGAAAGGAAAAAAAAAAGGAGTGGAGCGGGACCCATGACATGGAATCTTTGTGTGGGGCCATGAGTTTTGCCAAAATAAATTTGAGATTTATTTTCAAAACTCATGTTTGGCTATAAATTTTGCCCATATTTTGGCCAAATCCCAAATCCCAAATTTCAAATCCCACTGATTTTGGGCCAAAATCCCAAAACTTGGGAATTATATACATGTTTTTCCAAAATAAAGTTGGAAAATATGTTTTGAAAACGTATGTCCAAACACGTTTTCATCTTCAAATCAAACTTCATCCAAATCAGATTTTTCAAAACAAATTTGGGATCTATGGCCAAACGCTAGCTTAATTTATGCGGCGGAGTTTGATTCCTTACGAAGTTTAAAAAAAAAAGAAGGAATTTTGATTTTACGAGTTTAAACATATAATGATATTTGTAGCTATACAAATATATCATTAAAAGTAAAATAAAAAATTTGTAGTTAATTTTATAATATAAAAGGTATTATTTATTTTTAAATAAATTAATACTACCCAAAATTAAACAAGGAAATAGTAGTTTGAATCCAATAGAAAAACAAAAAGAGGGAGAAAGGAAAAGAAAAGTGGGAAAATGAGGTAACGTGTAGAAAGAGGAAAAGGAACATTTCAAGGAAGATAGAGATATTAGTTGACATTGTAGATTGAAGAGTACTATTTCTACTAATTAATAAAGGTAAGGCATTTTTCTTTCATCTCACACTTGTCTCAATAGAAAAATGTTAAATGCTAATTGTGACTCTTTGTTTATTATTTTATTGATTGGAAAGAAACATTAGATCTCTTTGGAAAAAGTTCATGAATTACTAGAAACTTTCTTCGTTTGAACAGTTTATAATTGGAAAGAACCTACAGGCCAACAATGTATCCTTTTAATTCTTTAAAATATAGCAAGGACAGGAGAAATTAACAAGAGGAATGTTTATTGTTTTTAGTTTAATTGATTGAATAGACGATTATTTAAGTTGATTTATGGGCTTGACCTAAGAGGTTTTTATAAGAGAATTAACCTAAATAATAGCTGATGGATTTGATTACTTAAATTAAAAATAAACACTAGATTCAATCGACTATGCGGGTAAAGATCCCTTTTTAATTCAAAATTGGTTCCATATTTGCCCACCAGCCGTATAACCCATTACCAGGCAAAATAATATGAAACTATGTCACTGGAGACTCTCTAATACTTCATGTATACATGTATATATATTTAGAAAATAGATATATAATAGTTGTGAGCACTCTACATATAGAATAGTTTTTGATTGAATTCAAAAGTGCACCCGTAACCTTCAAATCCTGAGTCCGCCTCTGCTCTCAAAAGTGAGCTATTATAGAAACGGCCCCACAAGGAGCTGGTCTTTAAATATTATCCTTATTTTATAATGTATTTAGAAAAATATGACCTCTAGCCTCTCACATATTTTTTACTTGTCAGGAATTTTTTAGCATAACTTTGTAATTTTTCACTTATTCACCAAATTCTATCACATTGGCATTTGGTGTTATCTGTATTTAACCTATTTGTTTAATTATTCACAAACTTTATCTGGATTGACATGATTTTGTACTTGTTTAATTGTTCATCAAATTCTACTAGATTGGTGTGACTTTAGGTTATCTGCAATCGACTTATTTGCTATTAAATAAAAAACAGGAACTATCTTTATCTTTAGAGACCAGTCCCTTGGGAGGATATTGAAGAATTAAACCAAATAGCCGCTCACCCTACCAATTAAACAGAAAATAGCCGGTGAATATTTAATATATACATAGTTTGTGTATTAAATGTGTTAATTATGTATAATAAATGTATAATTTATGTATATGGCTAGAGAAATAAACAATTAATATGACCGACTATTTGTGTAAAGATCCTGGGGATATAAGGTACACTTTTGGGGATAAATTCAAAAACAGCCAAATTTACAAGTGGTCATTCAAAAATAGCCACAGTTTCAAAAGTCATCGGAATTTAGCCATTTTTCATGTAAAGAACGAAAACAGTGTTCAAAATCCGAAAAATATTCCAGTATACTTTGCTGGAACTCCAGTATATTATACTGGAGCCAGCAAAGTATACCGGTCCAGCCTAATATGCTGAAAGTTCATAAACAGGTGCACGGAGCTCCAGTATATTATGCTGGACCGGTCTCTGTTGCAGCAAAATAGGGGCAATTTTTCAATGACTCAGCAAACGCTGGCTATTTTTGAATGACCATGACCCTACCGGTTGTTTTGAGCTCTAGCACGTCGTTCGGTGGTTTGAGGCCATGACTAGCTTCACTTCAGGTATTATGACTTGTATGTATGGTCGGAATCGAAATTCGGGAAGTTCGGATTGGATTTGGAAAGAAAATTCTCATTTCAAAAGCTTTAAGTTCGAATAATTGACTAAGATTGGATTTTTGAGTAAAGGACATCGGAATCGGGATTTGAAGGTTCCTGCAAGTTCGTATGATGATTTTGGACTTGGGCGTATGTCCGGATCGGGTTTTGGATGACCCGGGAGCGTTTCGGCGCCTATTGTGAAAGTTTGCAATTTTGAGTGAATTTCATAAATTTGGGATGAAGTGCATTTCAGTGTTAATGATGTCCGTTTGGGATTTCGAGTCTGGAAATAGCTCCGTATGGTGATTCTGGTAGTGGGAGCGCGATCGAAAGTAGGTTTGGAGGTCCGTAGGTCATTTTGGAGTCATTTGATTGAAGTTAGAAATTTGAAGGTTTTTGAGAAGTTTGACCGAAGTGGACTTTTTGATATCGGGGTCGATTCCGATTCCGGAAGTTGGAGTAGGTCCGTAATGTTGAATATGACTTGTGTGCAAAATCTGAGGTCAATCGGACGTGGTTTGATAGGTTTCGGCATCGAATGTAGAAGTTCAAAATTTTAAAGTTTATTAAGCTTGAATTGGAGTGCGATTCATGATTTTAGTGTTGTTTGATTTGATTTGAGGCCTCGAGCAGGTCCGTGTAATGTTATGGGATCGGTTGGTGTGATTGGATGGGGTCCTAGAGGCCTCGGGTGTGTTTCGAGGTGGTCTCGGATCGAATTTGGATGAAAAGCTGCTGCTGATTGCTGGTGTCTGGTTTCCTTCTTCGCGAACACGAAGGAAGTCCCGCGTTCGCGAAGAGGAAATATTTGGGGCTGCTGGCTTGGTCTTCGCGAACGCGTGGCAGAGGACGCCAACGCGAAGCAAGGGCTGGTTAAGCTTACGCGAACGTGATGCAGTGCTCGCGAACGCGAAGAAGGAAAGGAGCGGGCCTTGAAGTGCTAAGCCTTCGCAAACGCTGCTGTGGGACCGCGAACGCGAAGGGGAAATTCTGAGGTGTGCATGATTGGTCTCCGCGAACGCGATGGTATTTTCGCGTTCGCGAAGAAGGATTTTCTGGGCAGAGAGTTGTTTTAAACGGGATCTTGGCCATTTTCATTTCATTCTCCTCCATGGGAGCCGGTCTTGGAGCGATTTTGGAGCTCCATCTTCATCATCTATGTCAAGGTAAGTGACTCCCACCTATTATGAGTTAAATACATTGACTATGTATAGATTTTAACATGGAAATTAGTAGAAATTTGGGGTTTTGGTGGAAAACCTAGAAATTGATATTTTGGATTTTTACCACGAATTTGGGCATGAAATTGAGAGTAAATTATATATTTGAGCTAGTGAGGTTATGGGTAAACTTTATCTTCGAAAATTTTTGGAATCCGGGCACGTGGGCCCGAGGGCGATTTTGTCAACTTTTCGAGAGGAGTTGGGAATTTACATAAATTGAATTGTTATAAGTATTAGGGTATATTTTCATTGGTTTGCCCGTTATTTGGCTAGTTTTGGAGTGTGGTGCATCGTTTTGAATCGTCGGAAGGGCTTGGGAAGCCGGTTATGGAACTACAGAGCGAATTGAGTCTCCTTTCTAACCTTGTAAGAGGAAATTAACCCCATAGATGAAATAATTAAATATGTGCTTCTATTTGAGGGGGCTACGTACGCACGAGGTGACGAGAGTCCGTACGTAGCTACTAGCTATGCCTGTGTCCGGGTAGTTTTAGGCTTACATCATACCTTTATTGATATTGTTGTTAATTTATGTTTATTGTTTGTTTTGAGAAGAAAAAGGATTAAGGTTGCGTTATAATTGGGTTGAAAGAAATTTGAATTGAGGAATTTGAGATTTTAAGAGTTTCCATTAAACTTCATATTTTCGAAAAGAAATGATAAATATCTTAATAACTTAAGAAATCTATAAATGACCCCGTCGCATGTATGATTCGGGAGCGGGAAAGTCCATTAAATTATATTCGACCGCGTCGCACGTATGATTCGCGAGCGTCTCCCAATTTGTGGCCTACCATACTATCCGTTATATAAATAGGCAAATGCTCTTTTCCATTATGGATAGCAATAGTATGACCCATCATTGTGGGTATAATGGTAGATGCCCGGGACCAAGTTACTATTATTTCTTTTTCTGCTTTTGTGTTAAGCTTATCAATTTTTTTTAATAAATTATTGGCTACAAAGGTATTTTTTTTAGTGAACGTGTCACAAGCTTACCGGGCATCCCGCCTTTCTATGTTCTATGGACTTGTATGTAACTATTGAGAGTGAAGATATTCAACATAATGTGAATATTCCACCCAAAAGTTTGCTTTTAGTTCAAAACGATCAATATGTAGAATCAGAACAAGTAATTGCTGAGATTCGCGCAGGAATATCCACTTTGAATTTTAAAGAGAAGGTTCGAAAACATAGTTATTCTGATTCAGACGGAGAAATGCACTGGAGTACCGATGTATATCATGCACCCGAATTTACATACGGTAATGTTCATCTATTACCAAAAACAAGCCATTTATGGATATTATTAGGAGGGCCGTGCAGGTCCAGTCTAGTCTACCTTTGATCCACAAGGATCAGGATCAAATGAATGTGCATTCTCTT